TATATATATATAGTTTTATATATATATATACACAAGGAAAAAAAGAAACAACTGTTATTTTTACATACTTATATTTGCTTTAATACATTAAACACTATAATTATTTTCCAAAATAATATTGTTTACTAAGTTTACCGTTATATATTAGTACAAAAATTACATAGATAACATCACTATTTGTAATAATACTTATCACAAAGCACTATTTTTAGCACAATTGATCTGTTTCAATAAACTAAAAATACTTCTAGTAATTTTTTTATTCTTTTATTTACATTTTAAATTATTATATTTGAAATTATAGATTCAGTATCTTTTTAATAATAAATAAATAAATCTAATATAATATAACAATAAATAAACTCAATTACACGTGTTAATGTTTCTATGTATCAAAATCATTTAAAGGTTATGGCATTGTGGCGTATTAAAGATTATGGTGTCATATCGAACTCGTCTTGACATCAGTTAAAACGTTATAAAATCAAAAATATATTTAAAAACATTAAGGTGATTTTGACTTTTTTGTTAAAAAGAAACATTTTTTGACAATTCTGATTCTTGCTAGCACGCAGCTAATGCAAACTTAATTAACTTTTATTTGAAACATTTTTTAATTACATTGCAAAAATTGCTTGAAGAATAATGCTCATCTCAATGAATAGTATGCACAGAATATGTAAATATGCCCATGATAAAAATGTCATTACTTATTACATTCAATTTAGTAAATAATTTTCGGTGCGGAATCACTAATTTCATTCATGTATTTTTTAAATTTTTGTTGCTGAATGCCAAAGTACAATACTTATGAAATGTGATACAAAAATGGTAAAAGGATCAGGTGACATTACAAACAACGTATTGTCAGGTCTATCTATTAGTTAATCAATGTCTAAACCTAACCTACAAATAGATATGATAAATAAAAATAAATATTGAAATAGATATAATAAATTGAAGTAAATTTTTTATAAGGATTACTGGAATGTATTAGTAACTTAATTTCTTTTTACCAAGTTACATATGACGAGTTTAATAAATTAGTTTTGTAATAGATTTTGGAGAACTTGTGCAAACTAGGTTACATGAAAAAAAGGCAAAATGCACGTAAAAATCTATCAAAAAATATTAAGTTGCTACGGAAGGCAAATACACACCAATGTGTCTCGAGTTTTATTGAACCAATATTACGATGCGGCTCATAAAAGAAGAATGCGTTCATCGCGTTTATATTGGAGTGGACTTGGTATTTTAGTCATTGGTTGTACTTATGCTTCAGTACCTTTATATAGAGTATTTTGTCAGGTAATTATTGTTGTTATTTATGTGTTTCAATATATTTTTTACATCTGAGCTTATATATGAGAATAAATCTCTTTAATAGTCGTACAATTATGGTGGGACAATATCAGTCAATCATGATAGTAGTAAAGTGCAATCTATGAAACCTGTTAAGAATAAAGTGATAAAAGTAAAGTTTAATGCTGATATAGGAGCTACAATGCGATGGAACTTCAAACCACAACAAAATTTTGTACGTGTTATCCCTGGAGAAACTGCTTTAGCATTTTATACAGCAAAAAATCCATTAAATGTGCCAGTTACTGGTATATCTACTTATAATGTAGTACCATATGAAGCTGCAGAATATTTTAATAAAATTCAGTGTTTTTGTTTTGAGGAACAACGACTTAATCCTCATGAAGAAGTAGGTTTGATAAAATTTATTTTAACATTATTATACCATCATAAATGAAGTTGTTTAATTGTTATCTGTATCGTTAAAGGTTGACATGCCAGTATTTTTTTATATTGATCCAGAGTTTATCAATGATCCCAAATTGCAAAATGTAGAAGAAATTGTACTTTCTTATACATTTTTTGAAGCCAAAGAAGGAATAACATTTCCTATACCAAATTTCATGAAAAAACAATAATTTATGTTAAGTAACAAATGTAATAGTAAATTGTAAAGAAAAACAAATATATGTTCAATACTTAATATATTGTTGAATATATTACACTGTCCAAATATTTTAGGAAAAACAATTTGATGATGTATAATAATAAGTATTTATTGGTAACAATTAAAATTTAAAAAGAATATTAATTGGGTAAGCACGTCTAAGTCCAGCGATTTTATCACGATCAATATGTATTGCATCAACCTTCAGTACAAGATCGTGCTCTAGCATTGTCCGAGTTTTTAATAATTTCTGATGCTGATTCTCTAATTCTTCCAATGTTCTGTGCATTCTTTTTATTTCATGATTTGTTTCATTAATTTCTTTTTGAAGACTGACAAAGTAAAATAAATTAAAGGAATATCAGAAGTTGCTTTTCTCTTTTTTTTCATATTATTGTAATCATAAAAGTAAATGCATTAAAACGAACCTTGTATGTACATAATCACGACAAAGCTCTATATCTGGGCGATACATTCTAGCTTCCAATCTGGTATATGCTACTTTCAATATGTAACTCTTATCTGTAATAGCTTTATACATTAGTCCCAAATTTTTTTCGACGTCAAAAATTTCTTGTTGTACCTGTAAAAATAATATGTTATGTTGTTATTTTAATGTATGAAATTATGCTATTATTTCTACCATCTGTAAATGTTGTTGAAGTTTATTTTTAGCTTCAAGTAATTCAGAAGATCTATGTGCTAAAGCATTGTTTGTATTATTCCATGCATCCCATATCTCTTGAGTAATTTTAATCATTAGAGCTTCTGCATTTGTTCTTAATTGATAAGATTTACTTCTCTCTGTTTGTGATTCTTTAACTATCTGATTAACAGCCTGTATCCATGTATCTTGTCCTATACAGCTAATGTCCAATAAGATAAATAAATTAAATATTTATATATATACTTATTTATTTATTTTATTTATTATTAAGATAAATAAATTTTGTATAAGTCAAATATGTTTTGAAAGTTTTATACATATACCATGTATCATATTTTTGAGTTTCAGTATAATATTGCAATCCATGGCTGTAATTATTCAATTGATGACACATCCTATCTATTTCTAATGCACTTTCTTTATTCTTTAGATCCAATTCTAAATGACATTGAGAGATCCTACAATCTCGTAGCTACAAGTAAAATCAATTATTGATTAGTTCAAAATTGTTTAATTTAATATTACCTGATTCTTGCATTTATCCAAACAAATCTCCAATTTTTTTCTATTTTGATTTAAGATTTCTATTTCCTTAAATAAGCATTTCTCTGATTCATCATGCACACGTTCTGTATCTGTATAATGGAATAGAACAATATTATTATATCATATATTAATAGTGATAATAATCGATAATATCATTATTAATTTTAACAACATAATTTGAATATTATTATATAAACTAATTTATCATACCTTTCCTAGCTTCTCTATGATAAAGACATTCTTCTGCAATATGTAATGGATTTTCAATATCTTTAATAGCTTTACTTAAAACAGAATAACAATCTTGTAATCTTTCAATTTCTTGAAGTAATCTTTCTAATTCTGATATTAGTTCATTTCGCCAAAAACTAACATCATTTATTCTTTCACCAAGTCTTCTACTAGTATTATGTTGCCCAGATTGCACTTTTTCTTCAGCATCTCTATTGCAATAATTATTTTTGTTATTGTATATATAAATATTGTATATATGTATATATAAAAATTGGATTAATTCTTTTTCTTTTATAAAATATTATTTATCGTAGTTTAAAGTTGTATACCGCTAGTTTAATATATTTGTATGCATAACACTGTAATATAAATTAATCGAAATCATAGCAGAAGTATTTATTACATTGCATTATATATACATTATATATATACATATACGTATATATGTTTATTATATATACGTTATACTTTATATATGTGTTTTATTACGCGTTTTATATATATTGACCAATCTTCTAAATTCCATATAGAATTTATTAAAAGTTAAAAATAAAAATATTTAAAAGAAGAATAATATTTTATTAATGTAGAATATTAAAAAAAAATTCTAGTATGCTCAATTGCTTAAAATAAATGATAAAAAAAAAGAAATATTCAATATTGACATTGCATTTATTTTATAAACGATACAAAAGTAATTTCTTATACAAGTCTGTATATTTTTGCAATATGATTTCGATCAATTTATATCACATTGTTATATATAAAAATGTAAATCAAGTTAAATTTTATTTTAGGGGACTAAAAATTATTTGCTTTTTTTTTATAATCTGGATCAACGTGTTGAAATCAAAAATTCAAGTTTTAAAGCGATGAATTTTGTCTCGACTAGCATTATAAACAAATAATATTGATAAGATAAGAAGTATATTACTTTGAATTGTTATTTCTTTAACAATATTTAATTTTGTTCAAAACCATATTTTTGCTTCTTCTGAAGAATATAAAAAAAATTTTTTTTTAATTTGTGTCACTTTCGTCGCAAGGGAGAGATATGTGTATGTACATCTATAGTTGTGTAACTAGTCAGACAGAGACAATCTACATAGCGTTTACCTGATAATTCGTAAAGCTTCGTTTCTTACTTTTTCTGAAAGATATCTACACGAATTTGCTTCATTATAATATTCTATTTGTTTCTGAAACCATTCATTTGGCGTACATCGCATATTTAAAGCAGTTTCTGGAGCATTGCGTTTATATTCCGTCACTAAATTAGGAAATTTTGATGAATTTATTGTATTTGGAACATCTAATGCATAATTAGATGTTGATCGTGCGAGTCTGCAAAAAATGATTGATAATTATGTAAAAGCGTTTTTTGTAAAATAAAAAATAAATGAAATAATGCGCATCGAAAAACTTACAAGGGTACAATTTTATGATCTCTAAATTCCATATTGGTACACCAAGACGAGTTGTGACCGTCGTTAAAATTACTTGTATTGCATAATGTTATTGGTTTCATATAGGAAATAGGAATATTAGTTGTCCTTGATAACAACTGCTATCAATTTTGCGCAAATAAAATGCATAATAAAAAAAATCAAGTTAATTTATTATTTTATGTAATTCATAAAGTAATAGTAGTGAAATAAAGAGAAAATTTCAAATCTCATTTAAATTTTTCAGCAGTGATGAATTTGACATATAATGTCTATTTTAGTATTAAATGCATAGTATCAAGAAGTCAGTAAACTTTTTATTACATTTAAAAAAATGTAAGAAAACGTATTTTTAAATACGTTTCAGGAGTTATTTTTTCATCGATTATTTGAACAATTATTAGCCAAACTTAGTCATTGTTCAATATGGCAGATATACCGAGTGATATATCTCAACGTAAGTATACATGCAATAAAATATATTTTACAAAATATTAATATATTATAATTTGATATTATTATTATAACATGTAATAACACGTAGTATAACATGTACTTTAATTAAATGCAACTATTTTTTATGTCTGTAATTCACAAATGAGGTTACATTATATTGTGTTTTTAATTTCAACATCTTCAATGTTCAAAATATTATAAATTATATAAATTTAAAAAGTAAATAACATCTATAAGTAATTATTTGCTAAATTATTATAATAATTATTATAATTATAATAATCTTCACAGAAATTAAATGTAATAATTGTGTATATCTAAGATTAGATAAAACGTTGTGTGTTGTAAAACAATTTGTTGTAAAACAAATAATAATACCTAAGGATAAATAATAATATTTTTATAGATTGTCCTGGTACTGCAAGTAAAGATGCAGGAAAGGCATCTATATGTACAAATTGTCCAAATCAAATGATATGTGCATCTGGTATTAGTCGACAACCGGATCTTACTGCAGATCTTATTAAAAGAAAGCTTTCTACAGTTAAAAATAAATTATTGGTACTATCTGGTAAAGGTGGAGTTGGTAAAAGTACTATAACATCATTAATATCCAGATCCTTGGCATCAAGTAATCCTGATATAAATGTATGTATCTTTCTAACATAGTTTTTAAAATTATGTGAAATGATTATTTGATATTTTTATTTTATAAAATACTGTTAACTATACATTTTTATAAAATATATTGCACATAGTGTTATTGTAATTAATATTATGTTAAAAATACTTACTCTTTTTCTTGTTGCAAGAACATCCATATTGTTTTCTATGTATATATCAACATAGTAATTTCTATCAATAGTTACAGTTTATGCTATACGGTCTATGCTAAAGAATACAGTTTTCTGATTTTACGTATTTATATCATACATTGTATTATTTATATCTTATTGATTATATTTTAATATTTAATATTTTTTATTAAATATTTCTTAATATACATTTCTCTTTGATTATATCAAGTTTTTTATATTATACATTGTTTTTTGAATAAGAAAAAATAAATTTATAGAACTTAATTTTATAGTTCTTTAATTGAAGTAATAATTTAAAATAATTTAAAAAAATAAATTTTGCAGGTTGCAGTATTAGATATTGATATTTGTGGACCATCTCAACCAAGAGTATTAGGTGTAATAGGAGAACAAGTTCATCAAAGCGGATCAGGATGGTCTCCAGTGGTATGTTATGCAGTAGTACATACAGGATTTAGTGTATATTGCTATAAGCAGATAAATTTAGTGTATATTACTATAAGCAGATAAATTTAGTGTATATTGCTATATTTGAGTAATGCTATATAACATATTTGGGTGGGCTATAATTCTGATCCAAATAAAGTTACAAATTACTTAAAACATATTATATAAATATTAAACAAAATTTTATTATTTTTCTGTTTTAGTATATAGAAGATAATTTGTCATTAATGTCTATTGGATTTTTACTTGCAAATCCTAGTGATGCAGTAATATGGAGAGGACCCAAAAAAACTGGTATTTATTACGATTTAAAGATACTCTTACTCATTTTAATAT